CTTAACCTCATCCTCCACGATATCACAGTCCCCATCCTTCCCACTCGCTTTAATTTGCTCTTTCTGTTCCTCTTTCTCTACCTGTCTCTCTCTCTCTCTCTCTCTCTCTCTCTCTCTCTCTCTCTCTCTCTCTGTCTCTCAATTTAATTTCAATTTAAGGTTGGGAGCTCGGATCTGTTGGGATCTCTGCTGGAACAGAAGGTTGGTGTGGCCCATCTGTGAGCTGATGGGAGAGGGGAGGGCACATGTACAGACAGACCACCCCCACCACAAACTCCCCTCAACTAACAAACTATTTTAATTAGTGGTCAGCCATTATATTTGTGATACTAGCTAATACGGTCTATTTTTCTAAATGTATTATAGCAATAATAATGATACACACAAATACAAAAATTAAGCAAACAACTCTTTTTAGTTTACACAATATTATTATTTAGCCGCCTAAAATATTTACTTGAAATGTCTAAATAATATTTTGTATTCATGGTTGATAGGGGCTGCATAGATATCTTTCAATTTAGATGCAATATTTGCTACAGTATGTCTATTTTTGCTTTGCTACCAGACAAAATTACATATTTACACATCTGTCATCATCAGATGTCAATGACCAATAATATCAATATATTTTCTTTCAAGAGATGTGAAAATATATAAAAAGTCATGTAAAATATACATAAATAATAACATCAATAATATATAAATATAGTATAATAAGATCAAACAAAATACAGGTGCATCTCAAATTAGAATGTCGTGGAAAAGTTCATTTATTTCAGTAATTCAACTTATATAAAAAGTAACTATATAACAAATTATTTTTTTCTGTATTTTATTTATTTTATATTTATTTCTGTAATTTTATTTATTAATGTGTTATTAATTTGTCATGTGTAATGTGTAATGTGTATATATATATATATATATATATATATAAAAAATGTAAAAATTATACACACAATTATTTTAAATAATTATAAAATTCTTGGAACATTGCTCAGTCAATCAAATTTGAGTGCTTTACCTAACTGTTGTATGACCTGAGAAATATCATAAACAACATGAATATGGAACCGTTTGTCATCAACAGTATATATATATATATATATATATAGAAATCACCTTCTTATATATATTACCTATATAAAATACTAACAATTCAGCAACCACAGGTATTCTCATGAACGCTCACATCTGAAATCATTCAACACTGCAATTCTTCACATGCTGTATTTCTTCACAATTCCTTTACACCTCTGTAGAAGCGGAACGACCTCAGTCGGTTTGACCTTGCCCTTGAGTAGGTGAATGAAAAGCACATCACTAACAGAGGGCGAGTATGGCCGCCCTGAAAATAATGTCAACCCAGCGTTTCCTGTGTGCAGGGAGCAAAATGGATCCTGGCCTCATACTGATCTGCTGCTGGGCCGCTGCACAGATAATATCCACTTTAATTTCTCACCTGAGGGGAAGTTCTCACGAGGGAGCTGCTGACGCCAGGCTGGGGATGTGACAGCCATTTTTCATCAGCTCACTGCATGATGCCAACACATAATAACCTTTTTCTACTAATCTGGGGTCAGTTTGGATTCGTTTTATTGTGTATCACTGTGGTTTATCGCAAAATTTTCTTCCTCGGTGGCCATTTAGACACCCTGAACTTCACTGCACGGAAACAAGTACGACATCACTCTTTAAAATCAATTAATTACCCAATATAAAGACAGTGATGAAGAAAATTAACTCTTTTACACAGGCAACTATCCCTGCGGCTTGTGCACTTCCCAAAACGGGCAGCCAGTTTTGAAATTGTCCGCAGCTGTTTAACTATTTGATATTTGAGAGCGTTTGGCGTCTATAAATATTGAACAGCAGTACGGTGCCAGGGGTCTGTACAATGGCAGGTATGTGTCACCAGATACCCCAGGACAATCCCATCATGCCATGAATACGTTGGGGGGTGAAACAGAGCCGGTATTTCTAGGGTGATTTGTGAACTCACTCTCCCTTCTGCGCTCATTCCTCTGCATCTGCTCACTTCAGCTCTGATTCACTGCACGGGGCAAGACCAGAGCTGAGAAAAACTCCAGCTTTCTCAGATAAGAGCTCCCTGGGTCTGTGTGGCGCTCGGCCCGTCCAACCCGAGATGGCAACAAATCACTGTGTGCGTAAATCACGATGTAACCCTTTGCTCTTATCAGCACACTGCCCAGGATTGCCAAGCATGGCGGTGTGTGTGTGTTTGTGTGTCTTTGTGAGGCTGAGCAAAAGCATGTCCAGCATTCCTAACAATCTTTTCTCACCCTCCTCTGGCTCATCCTGAGATTCTCTCATTTGTCAGAGATCGCCAACTGCCAGGCCTGGAAAGCCTTGTGTAAATAAACCAGGAAGTGTTTTCACCTCACAGTGGGTTAGCGTGTCAGGAGCAGTAAAAGAGCAGCTCAAGTCCCCCGCTGCCGGGGGCTGCTTCTGTTACGTTCCTTCACTTCCTTTTGAATTATATGATGAACATAAAGCAGTGGTTCTGAAACGAGGCAGCAAAACAACTGAAATGAGGTGGAAACAATCAAAAAACTAAAAACAATTGTTACAGTTTTAACTAATGTACACGACAGCCAGCAAACTCTTGAACACTTTTAGTAATCCATCATTTTGCCAAAATGCTGTTTTGCAAAACGCCGGTCACGAATTAGAAGTACAAACCAAGGATTTGTAAAGAAAAATGTCGGAGGATTTCGATATAAACCAAGAGGAGACTGGTTTTCCTTTGCTAAAGTAAGGAGACTTTGCTTCCTTTGCTCCTGTAAACAAACTCAAGTGGATCTCAAGCTCCTCGAAACCAAATCGTGAGACTAGCATATCTCAGAGGCGCGCGCGCTGCACTTACGTCTTAAATCATCCGCCGGAACAGCTTCCACATACAACAGTCAGCAGAAGTGAGAGCAAAGCGTTTATAACTTTAAAAATATACGGATATATATAAATAAATAAATGCTGTTCTTTTTAACTTTCTATTAATAAAAAGAATCCTGAAAAAATGTATCATGGTTTTAATGTCTTTTTGATCAAATAAATGCAGCCTTGGTGAGCATAAGACACTTTCAAAACCATTAAAAATAATAATAAATCTTGACCCCAAACTGATTAATTTAGTGTTGGTGCTTTTTATTATGTAATTAAAAATTATTCTTAAAAATGTAATTAAATTATTGCTTAATTTTAGATTTCATTATATTATAAAACAAAAATTTATAACAACAAAAATACTGACAAAAAAACACTGAATCAATCAACCAGTAAATCAAATCATAATGAATTTCTTGTTTTGTTTTTCCTCTTAAATCGCTACAGACAATAGTTTGTGGATCACTGATATAAAGCCAATCAAAATACACTGTAGTTCTACATCTGTTTCTGTATATTTTTCATTACTCCAGGCTGTGGTTATGAATGGATGGTCAGTAAGTCTTCAAAAATCAGGTCACAGTGAGACACATGATTGTGAATCTTATGTACTGTTCCCATCTAAAAATAGACCCTAATGCACATCAAGGCAAGGAAGCTACTGAGCATCTCTCAGAGCATAAAAGACGCCTTCAAATGGATTCAGAAGCAGAGTCGCATGAGATGAATGCTTGTCATGTGCAAGTTACAAGGATTTCATACATTTACATATCAATTTAGTTTTTTTAAAAAGTGAGAACTCAAGACTTGGCAGTAATATGGCAAATGTTGGAAGTTTACTGCACCAATTTATTATTTCTGTGGTATCATTGAAAGAAAATGCGGTCTTTTATAAGGATGCATAAATCCTAAGATTTCTAATTTAGGGTGACAGCAGAGAGGAGGAATTCCATGCCAGGCTTTTTAGAACAAGAAAAAAAGAGTGTCATTTACCTTCCTGCACCGTTGGTAAAAGTGAATGGCTGTATTTCAGGCTGGGGATGAGATCTCAGGCTCTGTCTGTGAGCTCCGCAGAACAAAACATTGGGTTTGTGGACCATGAGTGAGGAGTAGAGTTGACAGGCCGGTGTAAACCGAACCCCGCAGGCAGCAGACCAGCTTGGCTGTTGGTGGACACCTCAGGGCTCTTACTGCTGAATAGGTAAGCTGAGAAATTCCACGGCCTTCTGTTTCAGGCCTGCCCTAAAAGTGCTGAAACATCAGCAACTGTAGTCTACCGCTGGGCTCTGGGCTCTCACTCAAAGACTGAAAGACAGAAGCTCTTTCCCCTATATCAGAAGATTAAAAAATAATACATATTTCAACAAATGTTCTAGGTATTAGTGCTTTTTTAATGTCTAATGTCAATACATACAGAGAAGAGACTCAGAAAATGATTTTATTTGTCTCACTTATATTTCATGTATACAAAAACTTTGTCTCTTTTACTTTCAAAAAAAAAAAAAAGTAAATTTGCATCCAAATGAAAACTGATTACAAAAAAGTGCATTATGTCGAAGACGTTGCCCTGATTTATACAGCAAAATCACAGATGAGAAAAACAGAGTGATTTAAACAGCCACACGCTTACATACTGTTCACAAGTGAGACTAGCATTTCTCAAAAATCTCCAACATCCGACCTCCTGCTCGGCAGCTCCTGCTGTGCCAGAGTTTGCTTCTGTTTTATAAGACAAATCTAATTAGTGTGAAACTCCAATTAAATGAATAGAATCTATTAGAGGCAAAACATGTCTCCAGGAATAGAACTTGTCAATAGGGTGTAACTCTGCTACTTGGTATTGGTTGGTTTAAAAAAATATGGTGATGAACCCAGCTGACTGAAAATACAGTGTTTTAATTATCTCACTCACTAATTAAACAGACTGATCAATGGCACAGCGCTTATAGCTGCTACACCTGTTTACAAGCGCACTATGTCCGGGGGCTAGAGAACTGAGTACAGCTGGTTAGAAAAGAGGTTTTACTGCTTAGAAAGCACTCAGATTGCACAGCCAAAGGGATCAATCTGAAATTGATTGACATCAAACTCACAATTAGCACATCATCTTCTGGCCAGGCCCTGTCTGCATAAGTAGTGGTTGGCTCTGTTGGAAAAAAACTAAAATAAAAGCATAGTTGATCAGCAACATAGATCAGCCTCATCAACTAACCTGTGAGAACATGCCACAACAGAAATCTTTTTTTCTTTTTTATAATAGTGATATCAGGGCCGTGGATAAATGTTAAATTGTAATTTTTGATATACATACATACATACACACACACAAAATATATGTCTTGTTACTCTCTTACATAATATTTCAATAAAATTATAAAATGAAATGCTACAGATATGGGTGATACAAATGCCTTGCTACCATAATGAAAACAAAAAACAAATAGCCCCATTAAAAAGTAAATACAAAATAATAATAATAATAACAACAACGAAAATATTATCAATAATATATATATATATATATATACACACACACACACCATATTTTTGTCTTTTCTATATATACATACAGTATAATATATTGCTTACTATTAACTAGGGCTGAACGATTTTGGAAAATAATCTAATTGCGATTTTTTTTACCAATATTGCGATTTAATATGCAATTATTTTTTAAAGCTCTTTATGTTCTGTATTATTCAACAAAGACAAGCTATAAATCATTGTATAGTATGACCAACACACTATTAGATAGATTAAACCTAAATGTTCTTTTCTTAGGTAATTAAGTCACTGTAATAAACATATGTAAACATGTGGATTGCGCTAAACACTGTCTGTTAACTTTAGACCAGTGGTTCTCAAACTTTTTTGGTCGCGCCCCCATTTAAACCTATAAAAAAAACTGCACCCCTTTCCCAAATCCCCATTCCACAGAGAGAACGTGTTTACTAGCGCCACCGAACTGACAGCTGATCAGTTACAACAGTGCAGCGCGAACGTTACTCTTCTTCTTCTTCTTCATGTTTTATGGTGGGTGGCATCCAACGTTAAGGTGCATTACCGCCACCTACTATGCGAACATTACTCTCCGCAGAAGTTCGTGTTTTTTTCCTGCACATAACAAATTGAAGAGCTATTACATTTCTTTTGCTTATTATCTTTCATATTACTACATGTAAACAGTAGTGTTAGCTACTTTGAAGCACGTATAGCCTATATTTAGTAGTCACGTTCACAGCAGAAACTTCCATTAACCTCTTAGAATTGAAATATTTCGTTCATCAAGGCATATTTAAGTAAATTTTACATTTAAGGATATTTGTGTAACTGTAGCATATGATTATGCTTGGGGGGGAAAAAAAGAGTAAAATGTACTTATACTTTTCTGTCAGGACATACATTTTCCCTTATGGAAATACGGAAATTAACAATGGTTTTACTATAGAAAAAGTGCAGTAACCATGGATTGATTGTCATTTTTTTTAACCCACAGTTTAACTACAAATGTATGGTTAAAAGGTTAGTGTCATAAAATGGTTAATTTTAATGTGTTTTTCCGATAAACCTTAAACACTGTGCAAAATTCAAAATACATCATATTGAATTTACATACACTGTACCTAATTTTTAAAAGTTTTTTAATTAATTAAAATTTATTAAAAGCCTTACAAACCGTATCCATTATATAAAACTGCAATGTTAAAGTTAAATAACAACGTTCCCTTTACTAGAGACAACAAAAATATATATACTAGGCTATTTAATAATAGTTCAAATTTAAAATGGGCAATATTGTGCTGAATATAGAACTTGACGACAACAACAATAATAACTAAGTACAAAATAATATATATATAGTAAACACGTCCTCTCTGAGCTGTCGAGTCGGTCACGCAGCTCGGTCCATTGAGCCGTGGCTATGCCAGGTCAGCGCGGCGCGAACACTTTAATACCGCGCTGTTTCGTCCCACATTTGGGTCGTTTGGCTTCCCATATAGAGCTGTTGCGGCGCGACGCGACAACTGTAGGGTCTGGTATAGACACAGTGAGTGAAGCCGAGAGCAAGACATGCCGCATCATATTTTATGCATTTAGCTTTTAAATGACCAGCACCTGCCTGGGTCTGTGCGACTTCATCTATGGCTTTTCTCTTCCCTTTCACAAACCAATCCATCTCCCATTCTAAGTTACGTCCTTGGCTGTTTACCGTTTTATTTATTTTATTTTTCTGCTGATGGCCCCCGCTTGACTTGAAGCAGCGCTGCTTAGACCGATGGGTGTGTGTCATCAAAGCACTGCGAGAGCTATAAGAGAGTGCAGACGTCTCCTTATGCTTTCTCTCGCCGTACTTTGAAGTCATACACTCCGTACTTTGAAGTCAAACACACCTCTTTACTTTCGCGTGTCACGTGACCGAGTGTAATCGCAGCCTCTGCGATTGAAAAATCATGTTTTCTCATATCGCGATATTATCGCAAATGCAATTAATCGTTCAGCCCTACTATTAACAGTTAAATACACTACATTCAACAGGTCTGCATTTCTTCAATTAAGAAATTAATCTCCAGTATTCCTGTGGAAGTGACTTCTGGCAAGGGAGAAATTCAGTACATGAACAAAACAGGGCTTGAGTGCTTTTGTCATCCGTACATGCCAGCGAAGACAGAAACGAGCACACAGAGGGTGGCAGCAAAGTGTCAGACGTTCACAAAGAAAATCAACTTGTGCAGTGTCGCCTGGAGCACGCAGTCACACACGCAGCGGGCTAGAATCAATCCAGCCGACTGCGACTCAACCCCCTTGGATTAAGATTTAAATTGAGGCCCATCTACGCTGTCACTAAAATGGATATTGTATCCTTCATGCAGGAAGTAGGGAATTACGGCATCCCTCTCTCCCCCCTTTACTGCTCTTGACAGATAAGTGGTGCAAGCAAAGCTGCACGGCACAGGCACTGCTTTTCAAAACCAGCGGTCGCCTTCATCTAAGCACGGGCAAATAGAGCATGGGATGGCCGGGGTCTGCGAGGGATGCTGTTCCTTTTAAAACCTTGCATGCTGTGAACCGGCTCAAATAAATATCCCCAAAGGCATCCCTCGTTCAAACACGCTCCTTCAAACAGCGGCGAGCCAAGAAATAGCACCATCATGGCACTCAAACCCTCTTTCGACTCCCTCTCTCCCATCTTCTCTACTTCCTCCCCACCCGATTGCCTCTGTGTGGCCAGGCGGTCGGTGTAGCTGAAAGGTCGCTGGTGGGTAATTTGTTTTTAGCTATGCAGACAAGCCTCACAACACACACGGCCAGGTAAACCAATTACACCCTGACATGAATTGCCATGACAAACAGTCTCAGCACACAAGCGCCGCGGCCATTAGCGGTCACGCCGCTGTCCTCCCTCTTGGAAAAGAGCCCCGTCCCTGACACCCGGCCCACCTTGGTTAGCTCTTTCTCATTAGTCAACTGGGAGATCATTAACCAACACCTACCGTAACCAAGCAGACGGTTTCTATTTGATACACAAAGCCATTTAAATCAACCAAGCTGATTTACACAAATGTTCATGCTAAAATAAACCGTTAAGCCCCACCCATTTGGCAAGACCTTTATAATTTGGATTCCCAGAATTACAGCCAACAGCTTGAAAAGAACATCCTTTTGGTATTCAAAATATGAGACAAGATAAATACAAGCACAGGATGGATTTGATCTGGATTTCATGGCATTAGCGATATGAACTGATGCTATTTTTCCTCATATGATTTTTTAATAAAGCTCTTCAGCCTTTTTCGGTCTGTACATAAGTGTGTGTGTGCGTGCGCGCTGTCTGGTACCACCTCGTGAAAACAACAGCTTTCTTGGCATTCGTTAAAAATCCTCCAGAGAAAAACTCAAGCTATGCCTGGCAGCCACGGCTTTATGGATGCGAGCAATTTCAGCCGCATGTTTGCAAAACAGCATGTCATCATCGCTGCTGTTAATCAAACACACTCCCTCATCTACCCCCACCGCACACCCGCATACTGTCCTCTCTCTCGTGCTCCGGGGCTGCCATTTAACTCACGGCAAAAGGCTCCTAAGTATCCATGTTAAATCTGTTACCTTGCATCCCAGCACCCCCCGCACGCCAATCCTCCTTGAAATTAATTACATGAGTGAGCAGCACTTTTACACTCACTAACTGGCCATTTCTGTAGTCGGCTCGGGAGGGCTCTCCTGTACTCCATTCACTGGCCCTGAAGCAGCCCTCGGCCTCCCCTGCCAGTTACTATGGCAACAATGTTCTTTCAGCACTTGCAAAATAATGAAGACAATGTGTTTTCCATTTAGATTAGTTTTTGGCGCGGCGGTGATACAGAGTGTCCATCTTAGCACCTCTTTCACGGCTGATACGATGCAATAAAAATGGCTCTCCCGGCTTCAAATGCAGGTTTACCTCTACTATCGGCCAGATAGCTGGTGTATGATACCGGGGACATTTTTTTTCTTCTCTTAACACAACAGTTTAATTACTTGCTGAGAGAGTGGAAGATCAAGTCAGTGTGAAGGGAACAAAGGAGGAAGACGGTTCACTTCTGCTACTGCAGCTACTGGGGGAGATATATGAAGATTTTTCAGTGAATTAAATTGGTAGAAAGATTCCTAAAACACAAAATGGGAAAAAAAAAATTATTACTTATTTACTGTAAGGGAACAATTGTGTAACTTTTTGAAACACTGTTTTATTGTTATATATAAGAATTGAAAAATAGTTTAAAAAAAAGTACACAAAGAAATAACACAATTATGCAATTGCTAATTGCTATGACAGTGCTCAGAAACAGTCTCTAAGACAGAGCGCATATAGCGAAAGGAGTTCTCTTTCACTGCTGATTGCATTTCAATGGCTTAAAATCAAATTTTTTAAACCACAATGCTTAAAAACATGTGCACACGGTATATTTTCGTGACCATACAGCACAGCAATGTCACATGAGCGCGTAACCGCAATAGAGACAATAGTCCAAAGTCTCAACCAGTTGACAAATTTCTACCGTTTAGTCATATCCACTGGTATATCGTCCACCCCAACATAATGTTTTATTTATTTTTTTCAATATCTGAGCTCATACTTCTTCATTAAATTTCCTTGATAGATTTCTC